TATAGCGGACCGATATTTCATTACTGTCATACTGCTGTAAGTAATTACATAACTGTCATATAGCGGACAGATATTTCATTACTGTCATATTGCTGTAAGTTATTACATAGCTGTCATATAGCGGACCGATATTTCATTACCGTCATACTGCTGTAAGTTATAACATAACTGTCATATTACTGTAAGTTTCTTACATAGCTGTCATATAAAGGGCCTATATTTCATTACTGTCAAATTGATGTTAGTTATTACATAGCTGTCATATACCGGACAGATATTTCACGACCGTCGTATTGCTGTATGTAATTACATAGCTGTCATATAGAGGACCGATATTTCATTACTGTCATACTGCTGTAAGTTATTACATAACAGTCATATAGCGGACCGATATTTCATTACTGTCATATTGCTGCAAGCTATTACATAACTGTCATATAATGGACCGATATTTCATAACCGTCATACTGCTGTAAGTTATTACATAACTGTCATATAGTGGACCGATATTTCATTACTGTCATACTGCTGTAAGTTATGACATAGCTGTCATATAGCGGACCGATATTTCATTACTGTCATATTGCTGTAAGTTATTACAACGCTGACATATAGCGGACCGATATTTTATTACTGTCATACTGCTGTAAGTAATTACATAACAGTCATATAGCGGACCGATATTTCCTTACTGTCAAATTGACGTAAGTTATGACATAGGTCTCATAAAGCTGACCGATATGTCATTACTGTCATATTGCTGTAAGTTTCTTACATATCTGTCATATAGAGGACCTATATTTCATTACTGTCAAATTGATGTAAGTTATTACATAACTGTCATATAGCGGACCGATATTTCATTACTGTCATATAGCTGTAAGTTATTACATAGCTGTCATATAGAGGACCGATATTTCATGACCGTCATTTTGCTGTAAATTATTACATAGCTGTCACATAGAGGACCGCTATTTCATTAATGTCATTTTGCTGTAAGTTATTACATAGCTGTCATATAGCGGACCCATATTTCACGACCGTCGTATTGCTGTATGTTATTACATAGCTGTCATATAGCGGACCGATATTTCATGACCGTCATTTTGCTGTAAGTTATTACATAGCTGTCATATAGAGGACCGATATTTCATGACCGTCATTTTGCTGTAAGTTATTACATAGCTGTCACATAGAGGACTGATATTACATTACCGTCATATTGATGTAAGTTATTACAGAACTCTCATAAAGCCGACCGAAATTACATTACCGTCACATTGCTGTACGTTATTACATAACTGTCATATAGAGGGCCGATATTACATTACTATCAGACTGCTGTGAATTATTATATAAATGACATAAAGCGGACAGATATTTTATCACTGCAATATTGCTGTAATTTATTACATAACTGTTACATTGCTGGCCGATATTACAGTACTCGGGGTGATGGGGTAGCCTAGTGGTTAAAGCGTTCGCTTGTCACGCTGAAGACCTGGGTTCCATTCTCCACAGGACACAATGTGTGAAGCCCATTTCTGGTTTCCCCCGCCGTGATATTGCTTGAATCTTGCTAAAAGCGGGGTAAATCATACCCACTAACTCACTCACTATTACAGCACTCTCATATTTCTGGAAGTTATTTCATATCTCTCATATAGCTGGCCGATATAACATTACTGCCATATTCCGGAACATGATACATAACTCTTTTATAGCTGGCCGATATTACATTACTGTCATATTGCTGGAAGTAATTACATAACTGTTATTTCATAACTGCAATAGTTCTGCCTATTATAACAGCTGTTATCTCACAGCTGGGCGATGTTTAATAATTATTGATAAAGTTGTCACACTGCTGACTGACATTGTATGCTTGCAGTTGTGAAACATTTGATCGAAGTTACATTGAATTGAAACAGACAGTTTCCCATTAACAACTGACTCTTTGTGAAAAATGTAAAAGAACTGCGTGTCTAACATTACAGTCATTTCTATTGACTGGTGATGTTTCATCGAATGTCCGACAAAACTGAAAAGACAGAATTATCTTCGTTAACCTGCCATACATTTACGACATCGTTCGCAAGCTTTATTTTCATTATGTCAATGGTGAGTTGGTCCCGGCGGGACACAGCGAAGCCAGAAAAGAATGATTTATTCAAATGAAAAAGTTCCTACGAGGCGTTGGCTAACGACAACCTAGTGCTACTATTTAACCACGTATGGGAAATCGTAATCGCTTAAATGTCACAGCTACTGACGTATTGATTATTCACTACAAACTAGCTGCAATAATCATTAAGTAATTAGTGCTGTATTACCCCAGGGCGCACTATACGTGCTGTGGCATTCACGTCATTAAGACCAGATGTGCTGTTCCTTACCTGCCTAGCACAGTTGCAAACGCGTTTGGTGGTCACGCTGACGCCCTGCGTATTGTAATCTGACTGGAATATTGCAACAAGACGCGTAAAAGCGCCATGTAGCATTCATTAGGGATGGTTGGGGTAGCCTAGTGATGAACGGCGAAGCACACCACCCCGAAGACCAATGTTTGAATACCCGCTCGTCCACAATGTGTGAGACTCATTTCTGTTATCCTCCGGTGTGGTATGGCTTAGATTTTGAGGATTAACATACACTATTACACACTGTAGGAGTGAGTTGGTGAGTTTAGTTTTACGCCGCACACAGCAATATTCCAGCTATATGGAGGCGATCTGTAAATCATGGAGTCTGGGCCAGTGATCAACAGCATGAACATCGATCTACGCAATTGGGATACGATGACATGTGTCAACCAAGTCAGTGAGCCTGACCACCCGATCCCGTTAGTCGCTTCTTACGACCAGCATGGGTTGCTGAAGATCAATTCTAACATAGATCGTCACGGTTCAAAACACTATAGGAAGTGCGGTGGGGTAGCCCAGTAGTTAAAGCGTTCGCTGATTACGCCAAGGTCAGTGTTCGATTCCCCACATGAGTACAATGTGTGAAGCCCATTTCTGTTGTCGCCCGTCGTGATATTGCTGGAATATGACTAATTAAAACCCAACTCAAACACTCATTCACTATTGGAGATCAACAGACCCGGGGACGTGGATTTGAAGCGCTCGTACAATTTGATTTTGTCCTGGTACATCCATTGTCTCATTTCTGCGCTGTTCTCGAGGAGTTTACCAGATTTCACAAACAGCTGTAGCATGAAACTCCATCACTTTGGCCCTGCACTTCTAAACTATGTCGTTTCCCCTGATTTCGTTAATAAGATGCCAAAACTGGTGTATGTGTTTCAGTAGATGCGTCGAATTTCACATCTTTCCAATCACAAAAGATGCAAAACATCTGCTCGTCTCTCCATTCTTCCTTTAAAACGCTAACGTCTCGAACATATGACTTCTTTGATGGGCATTTTAGAAGTTGAGTTGATGAAGAATGAAGACAATTTTTATGGATATACAACTTCTTTTATTCTGTGAAGGGCGACGTTTCGACATAGATTCACTTGCTTGACAACGACATTAGAACTATGTCGAAAAAATGTCACCATTCTTCTCGAACATATGTCAAAAACAGACATAGAGGCAAGATCAGTGATGACGCCATGACGTTCTGGAGACGGCTCTACAGGTATCACTTACCACTTACAAAATATTCATTTAATGTTAGTGCAGTTGTGTGGGAGGTGTTGTAATCAAAATAATATCACCCAAATCAAGATTCAAGTACAAGATTCTGAACGGTCAATCCGAGATTTCAAATCACTTTTGAATAAAAAGCCGAAAGCTAATATTTATGAAAGAACATGTCTTGTTCAAATGACTTTCGATAGTTAATTTGAAATCTGTATAGCTATATAAAATCTAGATAGTACTATATGCATATATATGATACTGATTGTCTTAGCGGACACGTCAGAAATGGAGGGTATAAAAACTCTTTGGCATAACTGAGAGTCTTTATGGGTCATGTGATGACGCAAACGCCAGGTGTGTACCCTCCATGTTAGTACAATTACAATTCAAATGAGACTTTCTCCAGTAATCTCCGGGGTAGCCTAGTGGTTAGAACATTCGCTCGTCACGCCGAAGACCCGGGTTCGATTCCCCACATGGTTACAATTTGAAAAACCAATTTCTGGTGTCCCCCTCCATGATGTTGCTGGACTATTGCTAAAAGCGGTGTAAAACCATACTCACTCACTCCAGTTATCTCCACGAAAAGTGCCATGCAATGTTCCAGTAGACCAAGATAAAACTGACCATAATACGAGTCACTAGTACTATTATGTATCAATGTTCGATTAAATGGGGAATGTGTTATTTTGTCCTCTGCTACATAATAACAAATGGACATCCTCGTTGATTTCCTCGTTTTGACAATGTTCTTCGATCTCCAATGATTATTCAATAATGACAACAATATTTCATATATAAATGTATTCTCACATTGAAAACACATGTAAGTGAATTCTGGCTAAAGATATATCATAATGTATGTTCTAATGAACTTTACAGTGAGCTCGTTTCCACACAAATACGTGTAACTTTACATACTGTGGCGACGTAATTGCTTTACACATGTACATATTAGTGTTTTACACAATATCAGTACAATTTATGACATCGAGGATGATACATATATTCAGTGGCACCAGGTTGTAACACAATATTAGCAACATTGATGTACATTACACACACATTTCTGGCTTTACGATGTGGTGCGTGCAGTAGCCTATTAATAGCTGCATGAATTAACTTCGTGGTTTCACAGATGCGGCGGAGAGGTCATGGCCCCACAAAACATTGCACATTTAATGCTTCAGACGTGCCGTAGCAACGTAATGGCCTCCCCATTGCAAGAAAGAGACTAATGAAACATGGTCATTCAATTGCAAGAACGAGGCTAATGAAACATGTCCTCTCCATTCCAAGAAAGAGGCTAATGAAACATGGCCTCTCCATTGCAAGAAAGAGGCTAATGAAACATGGCCTCTCCATTGCAAGAAAGTGGCCAATGAAACATGGCCTCTCCATTGCAAGAAAGAGGCTAATGGAACATGGCATCTCCATGGCCCGAAAGTGGCTAATGAAATAGGGCCTCTCCATTGCAAGAAAGTGGCTAATGAAACATGGCCTCTCCATTGCAAGAAAGAGGGTAATGGAACATTGCAAGAAGGAGGCTAATGGAACATGGCATCTCCATTGCCAGAAAGAGGCTAATGAAACATGGTCTCTCCATTGCAAGAAAGAGGCTAATGAAACATGGCCTCTCCATTGCAAGAAAGTGGCTAATGAAACATGGCGGCTCCATGGTCAGAAAGTGGCTAATGAAACATGGCCTCTCCATTGCAAGAAAGAGGCTACTGAAATATGGCCTCTCCATTGCAAGAAAGAGGCTTATGAAACATGGCCTCTCCATTGCAAGAAAGTGGCTAATGAAACATGGCCTCTCCATTGCAAGAAAGTGGCTAATGAAACATGGCCTGTCCATTGCAAGAAAGAGGCTTAAGTCATAGTTGTAAGTGTACAATATTATCATGGCTTCACAAGTTCAAACTTCATATGTATTAAACGGCTTCATATGATATTAAACGGCTTCACACACTGTCGACAGTTCAGCAGCGTTATCGTGGCTTCACATGAACAACAGGGATTTCGTGGCTTTACACGTGCTAAACCGACAACAAGGTACTATTCAGTTATTATTCAGACTTACACCTACATCAGTGATATCATAGCTTTACACGTGCATTAGCATGCTTGTGGCTGTACAAGGGCAAGAGCGACTTCACGTTCAATAACATCATGGCTTTACACACAAAGTATGTACTTTACACGGGCAACAGTGACTCCTGACTTAACAGGTACAGTCGAGACTTCAGTAATACTATACAGTTAGCGACTTGCTTAACACAGTGGCAGAACATCTTCGTTCGTCGGTATAATGTCGAGTGATTCCTCAGCCTTACACTAGAAAGCTTCTTCGAGGTTTTACATGTGCAGTGGGGAATTCGAGGTTTTGCATGTGCAGTAGGGACTTTGAGGTTTTACATGTGCTGTGGGGAATTCAAGGTTTTACATGTGCTGTGGAGAATTCGAGGTTTTGCATGTGCAGTAGGGACTTTGAGGTTTTACATGTGCTGTGGAGAATTCGAGGTTTTACGTGTGCAGTGGAGAATTCGAGGTTTTACGTGTGCAGTGGGGAATTTGAGGTTTTACATGTGCTGTGGAGAATTCGAGGTTTTACGTGTGCAGTGGGGAATTTGAGGTTTTACATGTGCAGTGGGGAACTCGAGGTTTTACATGTGCAGTGGGCACTTCATGGCTTTACACGTGCAGTGGTGGGTTCATGCCTTTACACGTGCAGTAGCGGCTTCAGGGCTTGTACAGTAACATCATCATGATGTTAAACGTAGAACAGCGACCTCATGGCGATGCATCTACAGGCGCGATTTAATGGCTTTACACGTGCAGTGGGGGATTCATTGTTTTACACGTGCAAAAAGGACAATGTGGTACAGTGCGACTTCAGGACGAACACGTACAGTAAAGACTCAGAACTTCATGCGTTCAATAGCGACTTCACGGGTCTCCACGAACACTACCAACGTCCACTGTTTACATGATTTACAGCGTTAAGTGACGTAACACAGGTAAACAACGTCCGCTATGTGTAGAGTTGGCGTCAACTCGTTACATACTTTCAAGTACATGTCAAAATTAGCGACTTTAGTAATACTATACAGTTAGCGACTTGTTTAACACAGAGACAGAACGTCTTCGTCCGTCGGTATAACTCCGTTCTTCACAAATAATAAATTATCACAAGGTGTTGTTCTCAGTACATGGCTTTGAAAAAAACATGGCATCTCCATGGCCTGAAAGTGGCTAATGAAAAAGGGCCTCTCCATTGCAAGAAAGAGGCTAATGAAACATGGCCTCTCCATTGCAAGAAAGTGGCTAATGAAACATGGTCTCTCCATTGCAAGAAAGTGGCTAATGAAACATGGCGGCTCCATTGCAAGAAAGTGGCTAATGAAACATGGTCTCTCCATTGCAAGAAAGTGGCTAATGAAACATGGCCTCTCCATTGCAAGAAAGTGGCTAATGAAACATGGTCTCTCCATTGCAAGAAAGTGGCTAATGAAACATGGCGGCTCCATTGCAAGAAAGAGGCTACTGAATAATGGCCTCTCCATTGCAAGAAAGAGGCTTAAGTCATAGTTGTAAGTGTACAATATTATCATGGCTTCACAAGTGCAAACTTCATATGTATTAAACGGCTTCATGTGATATTAAACGGCTTCACATACTGTTGACAGTTCAGCAGCGTAATCGTGGCTTCACATGAACAACAGGGATTTCGTGGCTTTACACGTGCTAAACCGACAACAAGGTACTATTCAGTTATTATTCAGACTTACACCTACATCAGTGATATCATAGCTTTACACGTGCATTAGCATGCTTGTGGCTGTACAAGGGCAAGAGCGACTTCACGTTCAATAACATCATGGCTTTACACACAAAGTATGTACTTTACACGGGCAACAGTGACTCCTGACTTAACAGGTACAGTCGAGACTTAACAACCTTACATATCCGCTTCCATACAGTGGAGAGCTGATTTACAGGACTCAACGAACAATATGCACATCTTGGGTTGTAGTACAGCGTATACAATACATGTCCCAATTAGCGACTTCAGTAATACTATACAGTTAGCGACTTGCTTAACACAGTGACAGAACATCTTCGTTCGTCGGTATAATGTTGAGTGAATCCTCAGCCTTACACTAGAAAGCTTCTTCGAGGTTTTACATGTGCTGTGGGGAATTCGAGGTTTTGCATGTGCAGTGGGGAATTTGAGGTTTTACATGTGCTGTGGAGAATTCGAGGTTTTGCATGTGCTGTGGGGAATTCGAGGTTTTGCATGTGCTGTGGGGAATTCGAGGTTTTGCATGTGGTGTGGAGAATTCGAGGTTTTGCATGTGCAGTAGGGACTTTGAGGTTTTGCATGTGCAGTGGGGAATTCGAGGTTTCACATGTGCTGTGGAGAATTCGAGGTTTTGCATGTGCTGTGGAGAATTCGAGGTTTTACATGTGCTGTGGAGAATTCGAGGTTTTGCATGTGCTGTGGGGAATTCGAGGTTTTGCATGTGCAGTGGAGAATTCGAGGTTTTGCATGTGCAGTAGGGACTTTGAGGTTTTGCATGTGCAGTGGGGAATTCGAGGTTTTGCATGTGCAGTGGGGAATTCGAGGTTTTACATGTGCTGTGGAGAATTCGAGGTTTTACATGTGCTGTGGAGAATTCGAGGTTTTGCATGTGCTGTGGGGAATTCGAGGTTTTGCATGTGCAGTGGAGAATTCGAGGTTTTGCATGTGCAGTAGGGACTTTGAGGTTTTGCATGTGCAGTGGGGAATTCGAGGTTTTGCATGTGCAGTGGGGAATTCGAGGTTTTACATGTGCTGTGGAGAATTCGAGGTTTTGCATGTGCAGTGGGGAACTCGAGGTTTTAGATGTGCAGTGGGGAACTCGAGGTTTTACGTGTGCAATGGGCACTTCATGGCTTTACACGTGCAGTGGTGGGTTCATGCCTTTACACGTGCAGTAGCGGCTTCAGGGCTTGTACAGTAACATCATCATGATGTTAAGCGTAGAATAGCGACCTCATGGCGATACATCTACAGGCGCGATTTAATGGCTTTACACGTGCAGTGGGGGATTCATTGTTTTACACGTGCAAAAAGGACAATGTGGTACAGTGCGACTTCAGGACGAACACGTACAGTAAAGACTCAGAACTTCATGCGTTCAATAGCAACTTCACGGGTCTCCACGAACACTACCAACGTCCACTGTTTACATGATTTACAGCGTTAAGTGACGTAACACAGGTAAACGACGTCAGGTATGTGTAGAGTTGGCGTCAACTCGTTACATACTTTCAAGTACATGTCAAAATTAGCGACTTTAGTAATACTATACAGTTAGCCACTTGTTTAACACAGAGACAGAACGTCTTCGTTCGTCGGCATAACTCCGTTCGTCACAAATGATAAATTATCACAAGGTGTTGTTCTCAGTACATGGCTTTGAAAAAAACATGGCATCTCCATGGCCCGAAAGTGGCTAATAAAATAGGGCCTCTCCATTGCAAGAAAGAAGCTAATGAAACATGGCCTCTCCATTGCAAGAAAGTGGCTAATGAAACATGGTCTCTCCATTGCAAGAAAGTGGCTAATGAAACATGGCCTCTCCATTGCAAGAAAGTGGCTAATGAAACATGGCCTCTCCATTGCAAGAAAGTGGCTAATGAAACATGGCCTCTCCATGGCCCGAAAGTGGCTAATGAAACATGGCCTCTCCATTGCAAGAAAGTGGCTAATGAAACATGGCCTCTCCATTGCAAGAAAGTGGCTAATGAAACATGGCATCTCCATGGCCCGAAAGTGGCTAATGAAATAGGGCCTCTCCATTGCAAGAAAGAGGCCAATGAAACATGGCCTCTCCATTGCAAGAGAGTGGCTAATGAAACATGGCCTCTCCATGGCCCGAAAGTGGCTAATGAAACATGGCCTCTCCATTGCAAGAAAGAGGCTACTGAAACATGGCCTCTCCATTGCAAGAAAGTGGCTAATGAAACATGGTCTCTCCATTGCAAGAAAGTGGCTAATGAAACATGGCGGCTCCATTGCAAGAAAGAGGCTACTGAATAATGGCCTCTCCATTGCAAGAAAGAGGCTTAAGTCATAGTTGTAAGTGTACAATATTATCATGGCTTCACAAGTGCAAACTTCATATGTATTAAACGGCTTCATATGATATTAAACGGCTTCACATACTGTTGACAGTTCTGCAGCGTTATAGTGGCTTCACATGAACAACAGGGATTTCGTGGCTTTACACGTGCTAAACCGACAACAAGGTACTATTCAGTTATTATTCAGACTTACACCTACATCAGGGATATCATAGCTTTACACGTGCATTAGCATGCTTGTGGCTGTACAAGGGCAAGAGCGACTTCACGTTCAATAACATCATGGCTTTACACACAAAGTATGTACTTTACACGGGCAACAGTGACTCCTGACTTAACAGGTACAGTCGAGACTTAACAACCTTACATATCCGCTTCCATACAGTGGAGAGCTGATTTACAGGACTCAACGAACAATATGCACATCTTGGGTTGTAGTACAGCGTATACAATACATGTCCCAATTAGCGACTTCAGTAATACTATACAGTTAGCGACTTGCTTAACACAGTGACAGAACATCTTCGTTCGTCGGTATAATGTTGAGTGAATCCTCAGCCTTACACTAGAAAGCTTCTTCGAGGTTTTACATGTGCAGTGGGGACTTCGAGGTTTTGCATGTGCAGTAGGGACTTGAGGTTTTACATGTGCTGTGGGGATTTCAAGGTTTTACATGTGCTGTGGAGAATTCGAGGTTTTACGTGTGCAGTGGGGAATTTGAGGTTTTACATGTGCAGTGGGGAACTCGAAGTTTTACATGTGCAATGGGCACTTCATGGCTTTACACGTGCAGTGGTGACTTCATGCCTTTACACGTGCAGTAGCGGCTTCAGGGCTTGTACAGTAACATCATCATGATGTTAAGCGTAGAACAGCGACCTCATGGCGATGCATCTACAGGCGCGATTTAATGGCTTTACACGTGCAGTGGGGGATTCATTGTTTTACACGTGCAAAAAGGACAATGTGGTACAGTGCGACTTCAGGACGAACACGTACAGTAAAGACTTCAGAACTTCATGCGTTCAATAGCGACTTCACGGGTCTCCACGAACACTACCAACGTCCACTGTTTACATGATTTACAGCGTTAAGTGACGTAACACAGGTAAACGACGTCAGGTATGTGTAGAGTTGGCGTCAACTCGTTACATACTTTCAAGTACATGTCAAAATTAGCGACTTTAGTAATACTATACAGTTAGCGACTTGTTTAACACAGAGACAGAACGTCTTCGTTCGTCGGTATAACTCCGTTCTTCACAAATGATAAATTATCACAAGGTGTTGTTCTCAGCACATGGCCTTCACCTTGATCAACATATGCCCTCTTGTGGGAACTTGGCAACACTTGAGTTTCAGTCAGCCAATCAGGATTCAACACTGATTACTTCCGGTCGGATAACCGGAAGCGGAGAGGCGTTAATGGGGTGTTCACAATGTTCATTTCATATTTCAGATCTGTTGTGTGGCAATACTCGATGTCAAAGTTCTGCAGAAACTGGAAGCAAAAGCACAAAATTAAGTACACACATACAAACAAACAAACAAACAAACAAACACAAAACATGCATGAACATGGGCTTCACAAATTGTACCCATGTTGGGAATCGTACCAGGGTCTTCAGCGTCACGAGCGGACGCTTTAACCATTATGCTACCCCGCCGCCCCTCATGTAATGGGTGTATGAATATGGTTATACGCCGTCTATAACATTATTTTTCTATTGGCTTTACATATTGTGGGGAATCGACCTCCTGCCGTCGAATTGACTTGCGAACGGTTCGACCACGACGCTACCACCGGAAGCAGGGGTCCGTTCCACAAAGTTGTCGTAGCGCTAACATGACCGTAACTCCCGTACTTTTACATATACTTGCGATTGTCGTTACGCTAAAACGGCTATGTAAAAACAAGACCTATGAATTTAGTCACATGTCAATAAAAAGGGAAGTAAGTCTTATTACCTTGACGAGAGCAAGGGCCACTTCCTGTTCAGCAAATCTCTTTCCAACGCACATTCTGGCTCCAAAGCCAAACGGCATGAAGACGAAGGGATGAACTGTTTGTTGATTCTCCGGCGACCTCAGCCAGCGCTCGGGTTTGAACAGACCGGCCTCTTGGAAGTATTGGTCATCGTGACCTGTGACGTCATGGTGGAGAGCCATAACGGTCTGCAATAAAGGATAATCATGGAGTAATGTGAGGATCGTTTCCTGGACTGATGCACAGACAGACTGAAATACGGATCCATGGACTGATACGTGCAGCTGTGGGTTACGTAAACTGAATGCGTGAGTGCGTTGTGGTTAACTGATTATACATACATGCATGCATACATGCACGCACGCACACACACACACACAAAACAACAACTAACATACAAGGTACATGCATACATACATGCACACAGCAATATTCCAGCTATATGCTGGCGGTCTGTAAATAATCGAGTCTGGACCAGACAATCCATTGATCAACAGCATGAGCATCGATCTACGCAATTGAGATGCGACGACATGTGTCAATCAAGTCAGCGAGCCTGACTACCTGATAACATTAGTCGCCTCTTACGACAAGTACATACGTATGGGACCAATTCTAACCCGGATCTTCACGGGTCAGCAGCTTGTCAAACACAGCTTTCTATTCACCTTACATAGCCATGAACAGTGGGGTGTGACTGGCGCCTTTAACGTGACATCTGACAGTTCACCACTTTCATCAAAATGTGAGCACATCACAACTTGCCAACTACTGACAACAAGGAGGTGCGTCAGATATGCTAGGAATGTGTTCAAAAGGTGTAAACAATTATACCTGCCAGTTTCTGGGGTCAGACAGGTGTGATTATCACCTTAAGGAAGTGCCAGCTTTCATCATAGCACTCCATGAAAAGGTGTGACCTACATTACATATATGGCTTTGTGAGATCAGTGCCATGTTAAGGTGACATGAATTTGACACTAACATAACATAACATAACGTAACCTACGTAACCTAACCTAACCTAACCTAACCTAACATTACATTACATTTACATTACGAAACATGAGTCTCATTTACCTATTCAGACAGTGACCTACTTTTCAGCCGATCCGAATTTTCTCGAATGAAAGTGAAAATAGACATCACAAACAACTATGGTTACACTAATTTCCAATTCCGTGTTTCATAAGAAAATGGTATTTACAACTGAATTTTAATTTTAAACTTTAATAACATCGTATTTCTATATTTTATGGCGAGGTGTAGGCAGCATGACCTTAACTAAGACGTCACAGACTGCTCATGTTTGATGAGATCGTAAAATGATTCACAATTCATCTGGCTCACTGGTTACACCTGTTATGATTTTTTGCGCTTATTCAGTGTAGTTCTGTAACGCATAATGTGATTGATGTAATATCAAGTCCGTACCAGACCGCCAAACCTTTCTAGCGGCAGAGCCTCGTTTTGAGATTTCCCCGATTTCCAGGTTTCTGTTTGTCAGTGCTCGCTGTACGACAGAACACGCTACAGGACATGTTTGTAAGGATTTTAAGGAGCGTAGTGTTGCAATATACAAGTGCTTAGATGTATGAAATAATACTGATTAATATTTATGTATCAAGTTAAATGAGTTGGTCTCAAAATTCTGGACTGGTTATGGTACTAAGTCGCGCAATAGGACGGAACCCAGTCAACAGGAAACGAGACTGTTGTGTAATCAATGTTTTGACTTGATACATACATACATACATACATACATACATACATACATACATACATACATACATACATACATACATACACACACACACACACACACACACATACATACATACATACATACACACATACACACATGAACTGAATCAATGACAGTTGTCTTGACTCACAATGCGGTTGACATAAACACTTCAACGTTTGAGGCTCTCCATTTCATTAGCATTCGCGTCAATTGACAAGTTTGATACTCACCCCATTTGGTATTCTGTAGCCTGAAAGAACGAGGTCACGTGTTGCTGATCTGCCGTTGCCAGGAGCAACAGGAATTATCCTGCAACAGGTTCAGCATAGCTTCAGACACATAACAGAAGCTTCATTAAAGACACGTAGAATATCACGTAGAGAAGTGATAATAAGTTAATACGAGTCTACTTGTAGTAAATATTCTGTTTGCCAGCAAGGGAATAATTAACTAGTTTGGGGGTGGGGGCGCTGTCAATGTATTGTCGTGCTTGCTTAGTATACGATGCTGGCCACGCATCTGCAGCATCATAACGACATTGGGATCGACATTGATTGCCGTCCTTGCCTGGTACCTAGCGTATCTGAGACCACAAACAGCATGTAGGTCCGGAAATTCGGTTTGCTATTTACTCCATGAAGGTCTAAGTTAGCATTGAAATCAGCAACCCATGCTTGTCGTAAGAGGCGACTAAGGGGATCGGGTGGTCAGACTCGCTGATTTGGCTGACACATGTCATCGAATCCCAATTGCGTAGATTGATGCTCATGATATTGATCACTCGATTGTCTGGTCCAGATTCGATTATGTACAGACCGCCTCCATAAAGCTGGAATATTGCTGAGTGCAGCGTAAAACTAAACCCACTCACGTTAGTGGTGGTCCGATTAATTGAAATAATCGAAGATTGGTCGCAATTCAATGACAAAACGACCAATCAATCGATCATGTTTTCTCATAATCGAACACAAACAATTTTGGAACACTTGTTTGCAATAACGATATTTTTCACAAGGTTGGTTTTGTCTGTTACATTTCATTAGCACTACAAGCTCTTCCAATTCATGATTGAATTTATTTTAAAGACTCCGTGAAGTTCATGTTCCTAACATACTAGTCATCCTTTAAAGATGTGAAATTTGCAAATGCATTTTGTGCAATTTGCCAAAAAGCGAAAGAACTACATGTTTTTCGGTATTTTTAGTGCATTAACAAACATAACCAGAAAAATTTAATAAATGACGCTAAACAATTATTTTCGATGATTGATCGGTTGTAATGAACCAATCATCAATTATGAGATTTAAACCAATTCCCAACACTAACTCACGTAATGTTGATACGTGTCACCATGTACAGGTTGCCTCAGTAGATACAGAAACCAGCCATACACACTAAACCTGGGGGTTAACTCGTTCGCGAGGACCCGGGTTCGATTCCAGAGATGGGTAGGAAGTGAGACGCCCGATTAAGGTGTCCCCTTCAATGATATTGGTGGAGCACTGCTAAAAGCGGCGACAGATAATATCACAAACTTGTGAACATAACATTGTAATGTAAGCTAGTGTGTTCCTCTGTAATATTGCTGAGTGCGGCGTAAAATAACAAACAAATGGTTGTGGTTCACCATACCTGTGCTGGTTGGATTCACTGAAATGACAACTGTCTAGGCCTGCATCACTCTGGGGAAATTCCCCGAGCATAAAGCCTTGATGTAAACAAATACAGTACAGTTCAACTCACTCACACCTTACCTAAGTGCCTCCTTGAAGACTGCTTTCAGATAAGACATCCTCGAAACATCTTCATCTGTTGGGGGACGCCCACCTGTAAGAATGGTGTCGATCTCCTCTCTCAGTCGCCCCATGGCATCCGGGTTCTTGCACAAGTTGTACAGGATGAAGCCGAGCATATGGCTTGTCTACAAGATGATAAACGCATATTTAGACAATGACGTGAAACTTTATTTACATGTTCACGGTAAGACTATTAAGGCATTGATGTTTAGTTTAACAAACTATCATTAAAAATTTGACACAGTTCACTATTTGTTACGAGGGAGACAGGGACAGCCAGGTGTTAGAGAAGCAAGTACCGACAACATTATTGATTCATTAACCTGTGATGTGCCGTCTCCTTCCTTTCTCGCACACCTTGCTGTCCCTTTCTCTGCACTCCACCCTCGTAACCAAAAGTGAACTGTGTCAATATTTTAATGATAGTTTGTTAAACAACTTGTTTATTTTTAGGACATAAATTCTGCAAAAACCTCACAGAGTTGGTCTGAGGTTTTGATTATGATCAGTGTTTCACTGAGTATTTTACGTTTATTAGTTTTCGAGGTAGATTGCAATTCATCGGTCCGCTTTTGAGCCAAACGGACTATACACATCGTTGTGTGTCGCAAACATATTATTAAAGTACTCCTGAACGCTTTATTTCCTGGAATATGCAGAACCAAACATGTTCCAAGGGAATACGAGTCCCTGTACATATTGACACCGGACATTAGTATTCATTTCGTCTAAACCTCCTAGTTCTAAAATGGCACCATGTGCGGCATTGAAACAAATTGCATGGATTTTTGGTCAAAACTTTAACAGAAACATGCAGACTGAATGTAACAATTACGCATGCGTTGACAATTCATTCACGTCCAACCGTAACATGCGTAAAAGACACAAAACATCCATTACTACACTCTCTGAAGTGAGTGATTTTTATGCCGATTTTAGCAATATTCCAGCATTATCATGGCCGGGGACACCAGAAATGGACGTCACACATTGGTTCCATGTGGGTAATCGAACCCGGGTCTTCGGCGAGATGTGCGAACGCTTTAACCACTATACTATCCACTGCCTCAACCACGCAAAGTCTGTTTACTAAAATCAGTGGCTCAGGTCGAGTACATCTAAAGGTCACTCACAGTATCGACACCGCCGAAGAAAAACTCGGACACAACCGTCATTACTTCCGCCTCGCTGAGATTAGTCTTGGTCATCATGTATGGAATGAGGTCACCGTGTTCCCCATCAATCTCTTGACCACTAGCCGAAGCCTCCAACACCCTCTTAAGGGAGTCTTGGGCATGTTGAGTGGATATGCTGGAGGTTAAACAAAAGATTAATCGTTGTGATCAAGTCTTGTTTTGTTGGGGCAAGAAAAAAGAAACACCTGCACCAATATCATGCTGGTCATGTTTTGTTGCGTTTTTAAGGTGGCACTGGGAAAGACATGCAAAGACGTTTTGAACAGTATTTCAGTGATCAGCTTCATGTGGAAGGAATCAAGAAGTGCAGGTTTACCAAGGAACCCAAATCTGCTCAGGGAACTGCGGTGCCTTAGAAGACTGCATAAACCTCCATTTCAAATACACATAGGGGTGGTCGGGTAGCCTAGTGGTTAAGGCGTTCGCTCGTCACGCCGAAGACCCGGGGTCGATTCTCCACATGGGTACAATGTGTTAAGCCCATTTCTGGTGTCCCCCGCCGTGATATTGCTTGAATATTGCTAAAAGCGGCGTAAAACCAAACTCACTCACTCACTCAAATACACATGATAGTATTTGACATCTCAGTCTCGCCGTTTCAACGTTGAACGATTCAGATTATTAATGTATAGATACCTATAGGAGAAAAATCAAAGATTCTCTATTGACCACTGGACAAAGATAGATGACTGTAACAGACCAATTGCAAGTGTGCTTGATTCGTTAAACAGAAAGTCAAAAAGTACCCCATAAGTAGGGAAAGACAAGTCTTACCTTCTGATGAGATTCTGGGCCTTTACTAGACGTTTGAACATCGGGGTGTCGAAGTACATGAACAGAAAAAAACTCTTCATTTCGGTGTGGGTTGCGTGCAGCACGTCACTAACGGCGTTGATAAACTGTCTTGCTTCACTGTTAGGTCCCGCATTAGCGTCTAGTGCCCCGATACGTTTGTTAAAGCACACTACCCCAATAGCTGGAAAAGACAAACGACGAAGGTTGGTTAAACCTCACTGTGGAATCGTCAAACAAACCCAATAGTTTACACAGCCAAACAAACTCCGTTAGTGAAATCGTCATACAATCCCAATAGTTTAAAGAGCCAAGCAAACCCTACTAGTAAACCCTTCATATAAACCCAATAGTTTGAACAGCCAAACAAACCGCGTTAGTGAAACCGTCATACAAACCCAACAGTTTAAAGAGCCAAGCAAACCCTACTAGTAAAATCTTCATACAAACCCAATAGTTTGAACAGCCAAACAAACCGCGTTAGTGAAATCGTCATACAAATCCAATAGTTTAAAGAGCCAAGCAAACCCTACTAGTAAAATCTTCATACAAACCCAATAGTTTGAACAGCCAAACAAACCGCGTTAGTGAAATCGTCATACAAATCCAATAGTTTAAACAGCCAAACAAACATCACTGCTGAAATAGTAAAACAAGCCCAATAGTTTATAGATCCAAACAACCCCCCTGGTGAAATAGTCAAACAAAAGCAATAGTTAGAATAGCCAAACACCCCGCACCTGTGAAAGATTCAAACAAACCCAATTTAAACAGCCCAACGACACCCAAAGCTGAAATAGTCAAACAAAAGCAATAGTTAAACGGAAAGACATACCCCATTGGTGCAACAGTCAAACATACCCAATTGGTGAAACAGTCAAACAAACCAAACCGTTTAACAAGACAAACACCACCACTGGTGAACTAGTCAAACAAACCCAAGCCTTAACAAGCCAAACACCACCACTGGTGAAATAGTCAAACAAAGCCAACCGTTTAACAAGACAAACACCACCACAGCCAACCCATATACCACCACTGATGAAATAGTCAAACAAACTCAAGAGTTTAACAAGCCAAACAGACCCCACAGTTGAAATTGTCAAACAAGCCGAAGAGTTTAAACAGACAAAGAACCCCCGCTGATTAAACCGTGAAACAATCCCAATAGTCTAAACAGCTAAACAACCCCTGTTGGTTAAATAGCCAAGCAGCTTGAATAGTTTAAACAGATAGTTTGAGAGATATTCTAACGGACAAACAACCCCATTGATAAAGTAGCTCAACAAACCTCATATTAACAAACATACAACCCCGCGCTGATGAACCATGTTTGATTCAAACGTTGCCACAAGCTGCAACCGTTGCCACAAGTTGCATGGAAAGTCTGTCTTCCACATGCACATGGCTGTTGTGTTTGGGCATTTGAATCAAACATGGTGCTGGTGTGTTTCAGCACCCTTGTTTTCGCTGTTTTTGACAATGTTTCACTCAAACTCAACGAATATTGAATCAGTTGCTTCACTGCATGTTCCAACATGTGTTTTAAAGTGTCCCATTAAGCACACTAAAAGTTGCATTTACCTCAGAGTATTAATGACCTCGCCACGTTTAAGTTTATATACGAGTATCAAATTTTAGGGTGTTCCCATACTTTTTGTTAGTGGTAGTATAAATGAAACAGACGAAGAACGGTCATTGATAAAATAACTCAACCATCCCAATGATGAAACTAAGAGGTAAAGAACACCTACATTCAGCGGCAAATGTGTACAGGTGCTGCAGCAAGTCCTCGATGATGTCGTCGTTGTTCCTATGTTGGCGTAAACTGTCGATGAAGTCATCGGCGACCTGGGCCTGGTCATTAAAATAGGCCGACACAGCTTTGGGCTTAAGCATCTTCTGCTGCACCTGTCTACGAAGTCGGTGCCACGACTCGCCTTCACTGAAGAGAGGGTAAGAAAGTCAGGTGCTATTTCAAGACTTAAAGGAGCACTACACGAAAGGTTGTTGTGTTTCCTATAATCCGTTGTTGTTGTTGTTGTTGTTTAACGCTGCACTTAGCAATATTCCAGCTATATGGCGGCGGTATGTAAATAATCGAGTCTAGACAACACACTCCAGTGATCAACAGCATGAGCATCAATCTACGCAACTGGGGTACATATATTGCAGGTGGTGTTTTGGCTGGTTGTCTGGCTGGTACCGATACGTTAATTTAAGGTTGTTTGTGTTAAGAAAGGTAATGCTCGATTGTCTTAAGGTAAGTGGTCTTCATCTTGATTGTATTCACGTACATCCTCTTCGTCCTGGTTATGTTTAGCTTGTGCTGTTCAGGTCTTAACTAGGGGTGGGTATTGCAGAGAATTTTCATATTGTGATATATTGCGATGCGAAAGCATGTATTGCGATATGTATTGCAATATATCGCAAGTAGTATTATTAAACATAAACTACTTATGATCGAGTTAATGCTTGATTTATAAAGCAAAACCACAACAAAATAACTATGCTTGATTTAGCTTTAACAACAAACTTTAATCATGACAAAATAAAAATGTAAATAATATTTGACACAAATGAAACAAGGAAATATCCGAAGATTTCCGAGTGTTACGAAGTTTTCCTAATGCAAATCGAAATACCGGTTTTTGATCAGCGTATCGCAATACGTATCGTTTTGATGTCTGAACCGGAAAATACCGGTAAACCGGTTATATTGCCCAGCCCTAGTCTTAACAATCCCACGCCGTGATATTGCTGAAAGTGGCGTAAGACCATAGTTACTCACTCACTCACTCCGGTCTTATCTGATTACATTGACCGAAGATTGGCGCTGTGAGCACATTGTTCCAGTAGATGATGTTCTCATGGAATATATTCATTATAGCGGATGGCACGCATACACACACATCATAATTAGGCCCAATCCGGGATTCGAACCCAGGATCTTAGAAACTGAACACATGCAAAAGTGGTTATTCTGCAAAACTATTTGAGTGCCTTAGAAGAAGAATGAGTGAGCATGCTTTTATGCCGTTTTTAATAGCAATATTCCAGCAAAATCACGACGGGGGACACCAGAAATGGGCTTCACACATTTTAGCTATGTGGGGAATCGAACCGGGTCTTCGGCGAGACGGGCGAACGCTTCAACCACTAGGCTACCCCACCGCCCCCCGTGAGCGTTAATGAATGTATTAGCATCACTGTTGTTGATGTTATTTATATGTTTACCATAACAGTGCTAGATTCAAACACTGTGTTAGAAGCTACACTTCACATCGCCCCAGACAAAAAATACCCCTTACTGGAGTAAGACTTGTGGGAAATCGCATCATGTCTGAGTTCTTCCAGCAACAGTAACGACCTTTGACATGTATAATTCCTCCACGATCCTGCCTCCCTGCTTCCGTCGCTGCCATAACCACCACACACGTCACGCAAGTGCTTACACCAGTAATTGAGATGTAAATATGTATGCTTTTGTCTTCACGTAAAAGAAGGTCTGATGCTATTTTTACATAGCGGCTTGGGGATTCCTCACGAGAAATAAACATCACATGGACTTTGAGTAGGGCTGATGACCGTGCACTACCGTTTCGTGATTCTAACCGGTGGGAACAATCAGTGATGGAAGGGTTACGTAACATCTACATCACAGATACTCCTTACCCTGGAAGTGATACTCTGGTCTGTTAGGCCAGGTTTTAACTTCAGCAGTGGAAAGCGGCAGCAACAATTTAGTTTTACGCCGCTTTTAGCAATATTCCAGCAATATCACGGTGGGGACACCAGAAATGGGCTTCACGCATTGTACCCATTTGGGGAATCGAACCCGGGTCTTCGGCGTGACGAGAGAACGCTTTATTGCTGCAATATTGCTAAAGGCGGCGAAAGATCATATTCACTCACTGAGAGTGGCGCCAACGAGATACACCATTGCAGCTAACCTCAATATTATGATGTCGTCATGGTAATCTTTCGGACACTAGACAAAAGTTCTAAATTTTGAACTGAGATTTGACACTGAATTCCGGTTCCGTTACTTTCGAATTATTCCCACAAAGTTCGAAGATAGACTTTCGCAAATTTGGCAAATGAGTCTCTTCATTTGTATCGTTGCCGTTTTGCATTCGGTCAGTTATTAAAACGTAACCCATGATCAAAAAGGTTAGACATCGGTCGATGAAAGCGGACGGGTGTGACCCACATGATAACGGAGATAATGATGTCTTGACTAAGGGGCAAGGAATAGCCCAGAAACGTTGTGTATACAATAAAGAAGAAGTTGACATCCATAATATTTTGTTTACTAGATAGGATGTCTTGCTGGAAAGGTATAATGTCCATAAACCAAATATAATAATAATAATGCAGATAAAAGTAGAAGTATAATATCCATGATGCACAATAGTTGATACTGGGCATCAGACTTCATCAAAACTTCAAAAACTTTTATACATAATTAACGTTAAGTGAGTCTAGTTTTATGCAGTTTAGTTTCACCATCAGGTCACGGCAAAGTTCGTTCAAATGGGAAAGGGTGATGTTTCATGCATAAACTAGGCCTTATTTGTCACCTGTGACTCTGATAATGATTCACAATAACATGCTTAGTCATCTTATCGCATAGTGTCCATCACACCGCTTTTAGCAATATTCCAGCAATATCACTTCGTAGGACACCAGAAATGGTCTTCAGACATTGTACCCATGTTGGTTGGTTGCTTTGTTGTTCAACGCCGCACTTAGTAATATTCCAGCTATATGGGCGGTCTGTAAATAATAAAGTCTGGACCAGACAATCCAGTGATCAACAGCATCCATCTACGCAATTTGGATACGATGACATTTGTCAACCAAGTCAGCGAGACTGACCATCCGATCGCGTTAGTCGCCTCTTAGAACAAGTATGGGTTGCTGAAGACCAAGTCTGACCCAGATCTTCACGGGTCCGTATCCATGAGGGGAATCAAACCCGGGTCTTCAGCAGACGAGCGAACGCTTTAACCACTAGACTACCCTACCGCCCATTTAATGATGACGTACCTGTCAATGATGCCATGGATGCCGTCGTTGTACTTCTTGTTGTACCTCCGGAGCATGAAGAAGGAGTTCCTCACCGGATACTTTCCATCATTCCTGTACACAGTCTCGTAGTCGTCCGGTTTGTACAGATGTAACAAGTTGAACCCAGGAACTACTTCTTCTCGTATGATATCTCCAAACATAGACCTTAGCTTGCAGGTCTTCTCGTAGAAGGTCATGCCGTAAAGGGGGCCTATAAAAGGACAATATAATACTTACGTAAACGCCCTGGAGTAAGAGATTGAGTATTGATTATCATCGTTTTTAACGGTGTTTCAGACACATGCGAATTTATGTGGGAGGAAAAGCCCGAAAGGAATAAGACATTTACCACTTTGGTGAAACCGAAGAGCGCATGCAGGCTTCTGGTGCCTCTAAGGGAGGTAACACTATACTGCGAATGCAACGCCTTTGACGACGGGGCCATCCCTGTCCTTAGTGCGTTTTCTTGTGTATGTTTGACCAGAATACGTCAAATAATATAATTCAATCATCGTCAAGGTAATTATAACTTGGCACTGATGGCTCCACGTGTTAACAGGGGTGAGCCGAGTATGACATGCCTTAACTTTATCCTTTAAGAGGGAAACCTAACCTTATTATAATTTTAGTTTGGTATAACATTTAAGAGTTGTGCTACAATTGATCTAAATAAGCAGATATATTATCGAATTATCGGTGATATAAGGTTGTCCTACGTACTAGCAAGTGGCTAGAAATGTAAATGCAACAATGGACGTTTGTTGTATAGAGTCGCCCTCAGCAGTATTTCGGCTACGGTGGTTTGTACATGATCGCATTTATAAGACAATCCAATGACTGATATTATGAGCAAAGATTCACGCCTTCGTTGTACGAAATCAAGGATTCACCTCTTACGACTAGCATAGGTTGCGGGGTAACGATGCTGTTTTTTGGTGTTAAGTTGTTTAAAGCTGGACTCAGCAATTGTTCATCTAAGCGACGCCAGTCTGTTAATAATCGTGTCCAGACGAGTGATTGACATCATGAGCATTGATCCACGTAATTTGGATCCGATGACATGCATCAACCAAGTATCCAGGGTAGAATGTCAGGAGTCCAGCTGGCCCCCTCTCATTAAGCAAATTAACTTATTAAACACTTGCACTGGTCAGTGAGATGTCTCTGGGCAATACTCATAGGAGTGACAGCGGGTAGGGAGGTCACTAACAGATGATAGCCATCCCACGCTAATCGGGCACACGTGCTGTCCCCCTAAATATAGTACTGGACAGGGGATCAAACAATAGCCCCTGATCAGCAGAACACTGGACAAAGGATACTTTGGCCAAGTCATACCAGATAGTGAGAGTGACTCCTGATATTCTACCCTGGATATAAGTCAAAGAGCCTTACTACCCGATCGGTTTAGTCGCCTCTTACAAGCAATGGGTTGCTGAAGACCAATTCTAGCCCGGATCTTCACGAAAAGCCATGTTGTGTGACTAGGCAGAAAACAAGTTACAGGGATCGACGTACTCCACTTAGGACAGAAACCAGACACCTAAATAGAACGTATGAACAATATCTGTTGGCATTTGGAATTGGACGTAGATAATAAATTAGAATTTGATGTCTGAATTAAGAGATAGAGCTTACGCCCCCTTCCATTTAAGAAACTAAATCCAATACCATTCCTTTCTATCATGGGATTTCCGGGTGTGCAGTGAAAAATATGCACGTACAAATAGCTTTTTCACACTAATTAACCTCCCTTCGATACAAGTTGAATAACGATTCAAATTATATGATACTACCGAGTGTTGCTGAGTCACCCAACCCTTACGCACCCTTCCACTTTTGAAACAAAACCCAATACCATTCCTTTCTAAAATAGTATTTTCTGGAGTGCCAAGTCAAAACAGTGATTACACAACAGTCTCGTTTACTGCTGACTGGGTTCCGTCCTATAGTGCAACTGAGTACAATAACCAGTCCAGAAATTTTAGATCAATTCATTCAACTGGATACATAAATATTACTCAATATTATTTGATACATCTAACCACTTGTATATTGCAACACTACGCTCCTTCTAATCCTTGTAAACACGTTGTGCAGCGTGCTCTGTCGCACTTGATATCATATCAATCACACTGTGCGTGACAAAAGTAGGTCATTGTCTGAATAGGTTAATGAGACTCATGTTTCGGTTTGGCAAAGAATATGCATGCACAGATAGCTTTTCCACACTAATTAACCTCCCTTCGCTACAAGTTAAATAACTTTTCAAATTATAAAATACTACCGAGTGTTGCTGAGTCTCCCAACCCTTACGCCCCCTTCCACTTTTGAAACAAAATCCAATACCATTCCTTTCTAGCATGGTATTTTCTGGAGTGCAGCAAAATTATGCATGTACAAATCGCTTTTTCACAATAATTAAGCTCCCTTCGCTACAAGTTAAATAACGATTCAAATCATATGATACTACCGAGTGTTGCTGAGTCACCCAACACATAATAGTTCTGGAAACATACCAGCACCGTAACTACCCGCGTATTCATTCCTATAATATGTATTGTACGAATATCTAAGCAAACACCGTGAACCTTAAGATTCGACAAAGAGCTAACGTGATTCAAATACCAAGGCATGGATACACACGACTTGCAAGGAAACCAACCATTATATAGTCAAGCTTGACTTGCTATGACCGAGTACTTTCCTCCAACTATCTAAAGCTAACCAAAGGTTATTAAGCACAGATAAACAGATTGGTAGGTTTGATCTAAACCGCTCCCTCTCAAAATGGTTCTTAGTCCACTCGCTTAAATATCAGTATCCTTTCATGGTTTGGGCTATTTTACTAAAATCGTACATGTAGAATTTCCTCCCGCATCTACACAGGAAAAAGTATTTACTTAAAATTTATTCACGGAGTGGGTATTGTTTTAACCAGCTTTAAACAAATTGAATATTCCAGCAATATCACGGCCGGGGCACCAGAAATGGGCTTCACACAATGTTCCCGTGGGAAATGGAACACGGATCTTCGGAGTGACGAGCGGACACCTTAACAGCAAGGCTTCCCCGTCGCCCCCCAAAAACTGAATTTGACCAAAACAATAGACCCGTTATGAAAATATGTAAACGTTAGGGCTAAAACACAACTATGGTACACGTATTGTAAAACAGTGAGTGAGTTTAGTTTTACACCGCACTCAGCAGTATTCCAGCTTAATTGCAGCTTTTCAATTCTTTTATTCGGGTATAAAGGCCAACGGCCCATGTGCAACATAATTCAAAATAATCATTATAATGACAGATGGGAATTTCTGAGAAATAGAACTTCCTTAATAAAATTTGCAACATTTAACAAAATATTTATCTTATTACATGTTAGAAGAGCTTTAAACTTGAACATCGTGGGTGAATTACAATAATGTCTTGGTATATATTTGATCTGAGATCTGACATTTTAGATGTAAGTGATATTCATCTTCTACACAACCTAACGCAAAAATGTACATATTCTATTACTGCGGAGAATGCCACACCGTCTACCAATATTAACCATTAAAGGGAGCTCACATATACGTGATAAACATAAAAGTCTTCTGTATTCTCTTTCTGGGATAGCACACAAATAATATTCAATTGACAAAAGAGATTTATATTCTTAATAATTACATATTTACTTGAATCACAAATTCTAGATTACCAATTTTGTTGATTACAGTCTTTAAGTCTTTGTACAAAAGTATTGAGAAACATGTTTTTATCACCTACTTCATGTGTGATCCACACTAAACCAAAGCCATAACTAAATAGTAAGTGTTTAACCTTTCATGCTTAAACAATAACATTGTTTTGGATATCTAACAGTTGGCACTCCTAACAAATTTAACCAAAATGTAATACATCGTTTATGATAATCAATAAACAGACCATGTCTACCGCATTCACCCAAAGCAGCATCATTTAAGACATAATACCCAACACCTAAAACATTTTTACAAAACGTTTTGTGAAAACGTTCAACATATTCAATTTTGGAAAATACCCATACCTAACAGGAATACAGTCAAATTGGTTTTATCTATGTATCAAAAATCTTAAATGAAACAGTGGGAGAAATATTCTTTAACTTATACTGTAGGTGTTTAACTGAAAATAAAGACATTCTGAACAAGAACTTTAATTGCTTTGGACCAGCATAATCTATTACAAAATACAATTCCCAGGTAATTATAATACGTTGATATCTTAACCTGATCACTTCCAAACATCCATTTTTCTGTTCCCCTTAGCTTACCATCGTTTCTAAACACTAATATCTCTGTCTTATCTAGATTAACATTTAATCCCCACTTTAATACTATACTGCTTAAGTACATCAAGTTTTCTCTGCAAACCAACAACACTGTCATCAAACACATACAAGTCATCTGTATAAAATAACAACAATATATCCATAAATTGTTGACCTACAAAAATACCCCTAACATTGGATTCATACAACATATTTTCAAGTTCTACCACAAACAATGAGAACAGCAAGGGACTGAGTACACATCCCTGTTTCACAACACTCGGTGTATCAAAATAATTGGATATTGACAAATTAGTTATTTTAACAGCAGATTTTACATTTGCATACATATCAAACAAAACATTAAATAGTTTACCATGAATGCCCCTTTTCAATACAGAGTACCATAATAATTTTCTATAAATAGAATCAAATGCTTTTTTGAAATCAACAAACAAGCAGTCAAAGCGACCATTGGTCTTTGTAAGATACTTTTGTACTAAACATTGTAAAATAAAAATATTGTCTAGAGTGATGTAACCAGCTCTAAACCCTGCTTGTGATTCAGGCAGCTGTTCATACAAAGAACAAAACAGTGTTAATCTCATGTTCAAAATGAATGTAAACACTTTACTCATAATGTCAGTAAGTGTTATGACTCTATAAGTATTAACTTCTGAGGCTTTTCCTTTTTTGTGTAATGGTACCACTAATCCCTTGGTCGATTCCACAGGAAATTTACCACTAGTAAGTATAGCATTAAATAACACATGAAAATAAGGTAACAGTTCAGATTTACAAGATTTAATCATCTCAGGTGTAACTGCATCGGTCCAGGCGCTTTCCCAACACTGAGATTGTCAATAGCCTGAAGAATTTCAATGTTCGATATGTCCCTGTTTAATATGTGATTAACGTCATCATCATTACAAGCACTACAAGTTTTATCATCATGTTCTTTCACAAACTGATCAGCTTTATTGAGATGATCTTGATCAATGTCAGTGCTTATGGTATTAACATCAGTTCCAAAATATGACATCCAGCGGTCTGTACATAATTAAATATGGACCAGACAATCCTGTGATCTACAGCATGAGCATCGATCTACGCAACTGGTAAACGATGACATGTGTCAACCAAGTCAGCGAGCCTGACCAACCGATCCCGTTAGTCGTCTCTTACGACACGCATGGGCTGCTGAAGATCAATTCTAACACGGATCTTCACGGATCTCGTATAAAACAGACCGCTATCGATCTATCATGCTATGTTTGTTATATATTAGCCACTGTCAAAATGGGTGTTCACTTTCTTTCATATGACAGTATATAAGAATCTGGGCATATAACCAAAGGCCTATTTCACACTAATGGTGAGGACAAAACAACAAGTCTACTATATTCTGAGATATTCCTGGAACGAGGATTTGATTTCATCTACATATACACATACAGATGCTTCATCAGTTAATGCTCACAGTGTCAATCACTTAATTGTCTGGTCGTAAACATCACCTTCATCTCGTTAAAATATTGCTGAGTGTGACATAAAACAACAGTCAAGTGAATTATCTCCCCTGTGCTGCTTACTTCAGGTTCTCAAGTTGGGTTTAAGCAATATTCAATCAATATCACGGCGGGAGACACTAGACGTGGGCTCAACATATTGTATCCATGTGGGGAATCGAACCCAGGTCTTCGTTGTGACGAACGAACGCTTTAACATCTGGGCTTCCCTACCGAATCAGATACCAAAGATGATTCCAATTTGTCTCTATTAACATCGTTTCTTAGACAACACCTTGCCCCCAAACCAGGTGATTGACCCCACCCCCCTCGGGATGCCTATCACCTGCCTCCTATTGTCAACACAGTAACAGAGCAAGCGTTCCCCAACTCACCACCTGGCATGTGCAGCCAACGTGTTCCGATAACTGGGAGACTCCTGGGCCCCGGGATCTGATCAAAGGGCAAGGCTGAACTGAAGGACCTCGTTTCTGTTTGAGCTTCCAGGGAAGGCTCCGTGGTGCGGTCCTGTACCGACGTCACCGTTGCCCGAAACCGCTGTTGTTGCAGACGCAGGAGCTGCCTGGTAGCCACCCGTTCAGCGCGGAGTAGTGCCTCTCGACTGAACATCGTCGTGTTGTTTGTTAATCTGGAAGAAAACAATAGAGTGTCAGACAAGAAGTCAACAACTCCTCCTCCTCCTACTACTAAAGCTGTTGCTGCTGCTTCCCCTACTACTAGTACTACTGCTACCACTGCTGCTACTACTACTAATACTACTTCTACCGCTGCCGCTGCTGCTGCTGCCTGCTTCCACTACTACTACTAGTACTTCTACTACTGCTACCTCTGCTGCTACTACTACTAATACTACTTCTACCGCTGCTGCTGCTGCCTGCTTCCACTACTACTACTACTACTACTACTACTACTATGACTACTACTGCTGCTACTACTACTACTAAAGCTGTTGCTGCTGCTTCCCCCACTACTAGTACTACTGCTACCACTGCTGCTACTACTACTTCTACTACTACTGCTGCTGCTGCTGCCTGCTTCCACTACTACTACTACTACTACTACTATGACTACTACTGCTACTACTACTACTACCGCTGCTGCTGCTTCCCCCACTACTAGTACTACTGTTACCACTGCTGCTACTACTACTAATACTACTTCTACTACTACTACCGCTGCTGCTGCTGCCTGCTTCCACTACTACTTCTATGACTACTACTACTGCTACTACTACTACTACCGCTGCTGCTGCTTCCACTACTACTACTATTACTACCGCTGCTGCTGATAATACTATTGCAACTATGAATACTGCCTATTCCACTACTACTACTACTACTACTACTACCACTACGACTAATGCTTGTACAACTACTGCTGCTGACTACTACTACCACTACTACTACTACTACCACTACGACTAATGCTTGTACAACTACTGCTGCTGACGCCAATTCTACTACCACTCCACTATACTAATACTACGACAAACCTGTTGCCACTACTACCGCTACTGCTACTACTACTACTTCTACCACGACGACGACTACTACTACAACTACCATTACCCTTTCCACTGCAGGCTTTGGTGTGTGTTTCACATAGAATATATCATCAGCGAGCTCTTCTATTTATTAAACAATATGACAATTCATATGATTCCCACACTGGGGAGAACTGAGTTTGATATCTGATTGTACACCAGGCAGCACATCCATAACTCACTCCTGGTATAGTGTATGTAGTAAACCATATAACATGCATTGCTTACTTTTCCAAAATGCGACATATGTCAATTGTATAGACAATTATAGTGTATGTAGTAAACCATATAACATGCATTGCTTACTTTTCCAAAATGCGACATATGTCAATTGTATAGGCGTACAGAAGTCCGAAGATATTACCTTGACTATATTGAAAGAAAACAACAACAGCCGTTGCCAATGGTAAATTGAATGAACGAAAGAGCGCAGAGATACATGGCAGGGGACCGCCTCAGTGGTGTAGTGGTTAGAGCGTCCGCCCGGAGAGTGGAAGGTCGCGGGTTCAATCCCCGACCGCGTCATACCAAAAGACGTTAAAATATGGTACTTGTTGGTCCCTGCCTGGCGCTCGGCATTTATGGGTACAACAAGGACTGGTCGACTCGGAGTCAGTATAATGTGTCTGAGTGGGGTATTCATGCTTCACTGCGGCATGGTATCTCAGTGAGCTAACACTATAAAACCAGCTTCAGTCTGGGCTAGTACAAGCAGCCGCACACACACATACACACGCATGCACGTCGTCATATGAGCGAAATATTCTCAAGCACGACGTTAAACCCAATTTCACCCCACCTCACCTCACATGGCAGGGCGTATTACGTAAACAATAATAATGAAGGGTTTATAGACGCCATACGTCATGAGCTGTACAATTGCCTTTGCTTTTGTCGTGTTAAGCCGAATATGATCACATTGAGGCTATTTGTCGTGTGTCTGTGAATAACAAAGTCTGGACTTAACAATAATTCTGGTTTATCGATTTCAAAGCTGGCTGTAAATGGCGATTCTGGATCAGATACACCAGTTAGGGCTATAATGATGAACACACCACCCATTCAGGTTACAATTACAACCAAACATACCGAATCTGAGTAAGAGAAACTTACCGAATCTGAGTAAGTAAGTGAGTTTGCCGCTTTTTGCAATATTCCAGCAATATCACAGCGGGGGACACCAGAAATGGGCTTAACACATTGTACCCATGTGGGGAATCGAACCGGGTCTTCGGTGTGACGAGCGAACGCTTTAACCACTAGGCTACCCCACCACCGCTTACCGAATCTGGCCACCCAAACCATTTAGTAGCTAGCCCTTACAACAAACTTGGGAGTATATGTTACTCTGAATCCTCCTGCAGTTATTTAACGTGGACTATATTAACTTCACAAACCCTTTCGCGGGTGTAACTGAACAATATCACGTTGGTGTCAGTAACGTCATACTAGTTTACAGCGACGGTTTTAAAGAAAACTTTTGTAAATGACTGAAAAATATTAAGTATCCCTTTACTTGTAATGAAATGTTGCGTCTTAAAAGCGTAAAACAATTTTAACTTGGTGCTATAATATTGTTGTGATTCAGTGAACAGTCAAGACACTGTGCCACTCGTGAACAGTAAACACATGGCCGAAATCAAATCTTTTTGCTTCAATACCATATATCCTCTGTAAGAAGTTCTGGAGCTCTTCCATGTACTTATTAGCAGGGAGACTATTTAACGTTGTAGATTATCCCTGATTATAGGAGGTCGCGTCTTAAATCTCGGCACGAATGAGTTAAGAATGATACATATTACATAATTACTGTATATCGAAAACGGAAATCGGGTAGTTCCGAATCCCGCGATAGCATATCGTGAATATTTGTCATTAAGGAGTGTCTGAGCATAGTCCCTGAGTTACTAAAACATTATCACACATTTTCACATCGATACATACCATGCTCAGTTCCCAACCTTGTCCGGTAACCCTGTCTGGCGGAATCATTGTATACTCATGCCAATAATGGTTGTCACCCCCCTCCCCATCCCGACCCCACACACACCTCACACCCCCACCCCCTCTCCAATTAAAAAAATTGAAGGGGGTGACAACTATTATTGGCATGAGTATATATATCAAAAATGTCCTAACAATATCAGTTACTTAACAAAGTTTACAAATTCACATTAAGAATAACGTGAAGAAATTGTTGTTGTTTTTTTGTTAGAAATAATTTTGAAAACGCAATATGTAACGCGAATGCCCATTAATTGAATTATTACAAGGGTGGTTAAATACCATGGTTCGTGTTCCATATGTTTAAGCATTACCAATACAGTAATCTTTACTATCACCTGCAGCAACATTGCATTGCAAAGTATAAGTCCGCATCCCGGTATTGAAGAAAGGAATGCGTCCAAAATCTAGGCCCCTCACCTTTCCACTACAACGTACTTGCCTCCTTGCCGCTAGCAATACCACAGAAAGGTGGACAGCCTTGGTGAAGTAGTTATCGAATAATAATAGTCATACTCGAATAACCTATGCAAAGAAATTAAGGGTCAACAGAGTTCAACACAGAAATGTCCACTTACATTACGGATCTTGAGAAACCTCACCTCGAAGGCCAAACACTCGTGTGTGTACTCCTTACATCGGTTGTAGGTTTCGCTTGCTTTGACTGAACTCGTGCCAGTCCTGGGGATGCAGGTTTCTATTTCTGTATGTTTGTTTTGAACTATGCTAGTTACCAAGTGTTTGGAGTTTGTTTTGAGACTAGTGCGATAAGAGGAGGGTGTGGTTGGCTATGGAGGAGAGTGAGTGAGTTTAGTTTTACGCCGCTTTTAGCTGTATTCCAGCAATATCACGGCGGGGACACCAGAAATGGGCTTCTGGAGGAGAGAGTGGTCGATGCTTAAAGAGAAGATGAAGAGAGAAGTAGACTTTGAAGTAGCCGATATTCCACCTGTAAGTACAATGCTTCGGTGTTGTACTCACTCGTGGGATGAAAACAGTCCCAGTCGATCTCTCACGTCAAACTGTGTGCTGCCTCACACAACGAGAGGACTTTTCACAGCTAGGGATTGACGCCGCTTTTAGCTGAAGTGCATCACAACTCATCATCATGATCGCGGGGTAGCCTAGTAGTTAAAGCCGTCGCTCGTCAAGTCGAATACCCGGGTTCGAGTCCTCACATGGGTGCAAAGTGTGAAACCTATTTCTGGTGTCCACGCCGTGATATTGCTGAAATATTGCTAAGAGCGCCGTAAAACTAATCTCACTCACAGTTGAAAGAATTCCAGTTATATCACAGTGTGGCATTTACATGTATACGGAAAGCTCCAAAAGATGTAGGTATCAAACATTACTTCTACATAAAACTAAAGCGAACGGTTATGGTGCACACAAACCAAGAATAATAATCACCGCAATTCAGAGACTCGAACCCATGGTCATTGGATTCGGACGAATTTGGGGGACGCAACGCGTCGCATCATGTGTAAACAAACTTCACCAGACAGCAAGTAGCTAATTTGAAAGGGTGACCCAGTGTGAAAAAACCCAGCCCATTCGTACAAAAACGATTCAGTATACAATGTCGAACGATATACGTTTGTCAATAAATCGGTCCTCGCGCTTCGCATCTCACACTGAGAAACACAACTCACCTTGTCCGTCAGAGATATTGAAATGACCTCCAGATTACATATGGCCTCCTTTGGAGACCCCTGAATCTCCTGACCATTTTCGTTTAGATCTAAGGTTGCTGCAAAACTAATCGATCATTGAATTTCTGCAGATGTTGCAGGTGGGGAAACTAGTACAATCAGCTGCCATGTACCTTTACTGAATGTCAGAGTGAATGCGGCTTTTGTGCGGTATTGAACTCTAACTTCGATGTATATACAATGCAATGTAAGAGTGAGCTAGTACTGATCGAGATCTGAACGAAACCGGTAGGGGGCGTTTGTTTCATGAATTAGCCCACATCGATTTCGCCTTAGGTCAAGGCCACACACAGAGGATCGCAGAATGAGTCCGGCCGTACGTTGATGATCACATATTCATTCACATGAATGACAGTGGGTTGTTCACTCGGAAATACTTTCACACTTGCGTCAGAGCTAGGAACTATTGCTATATCAGTGACAGAAATGCCTGAACCGTAAAACAATCCTGAAAAGACGACTTTTCGACAGGCTCAATGTGAAATTATGCCCCTCTTTTTCCAGTTGATTTGTTTTCTTTGTTTAGAACGCCTCCTGGAGCAGTATTCCAGCTATATGGCGGCGGTCTGTAAATGATCAAGTCTGTACCAGACAATTTAGTGATTTAGTGATGCATATAGCTCGAGGCATCGTTACACCCCTACTAGCAATGCTGAGAAAGGAGTTGATTTTATGTAAAATCCGCTTCGATAACTACACTCAAACATTCATCAAAGTCACATAGGTATGGCGGGGTCTATAAGTGGTTAAAGAGTACTCTCATCACACTGAAGACCCAGCTCCATTCTCAACACTGGCATAATCTGTGCTCTCTGTCATTTTAGCTATAGCTGTATAGGTTACGCTCGTCCTCTCTACCAAGAGGTCAAACAAAAGATTTAAGGAGTGAGTGAGTGAGTTAGGTTTACGCCGCACTCTGCAATATTCCAGCTATATGGCGGCGGTCTGTAAATGATCGAGTCTGAACCAGACAATCCAGTGATCAACATTATGAGCATCGATCTACGCAATTGGGAACCGATGACATGTGTCAACCATGTCGTCGATCCTGACCACCCGATCCCGTTAGTCACCTCCTACGACAAGCATGGGTTACTGAAGATCAATTCTAACCCTGATATTCATGGGTTTTTGGTTGATAGTGTAATTAAGTACAGTTTTATGTCCCTTATAGATCCACCCAGATCTCAATATGAACCGCCATAAAATTATGCCTACGTGAAATTAAATTAAATTGTTTTTCCGAGGTATAGGCGAATGCTTTTAATGCATTTTAGGTGTACATTAATTCTGTGCTAGAATGCCATGATAACCGATAACATAGAAGACACGTATGAATGTCAAATATTCAAGGACTTTTAATCGTAACAGTTGACACTGAACACACCACAGTCCAACTCCGGCAGCCCAGATAGCGCGAGTTCACACGAGACAAACACAACCGTATCAACAACATTTTCTGATAACCATACAAAAATCAACCTCTACTCAACCCAAACACACACGGTACATGTATACAACCGCAACTTTCCGAGGAATGACTGCAGTAAAATCAACAATGCGAACACTATTCACTATTCAACGCCAAATGTCAAGAGCGGCTCGGGGAAGTAGGTCAACTGAAATGAGTTGTAGTGTAGCTGCAACCATTGCACTACTTACAGGACAGGGGTTTCAGTGTGTGACGTACCTGATACTGAACCGAGCTTTTGAATCAACATTATATACACAAAATCAAGATCAATCTGGGTGACTTTGGAAACTAATCGGGTCAACTTGTTTGATGTAATATTTGCTAAGAGAACCTGAATCCACACCTTCGGTAAAACGTGCAAATCACCAGGCCGACAAGATAGTGTTAAGCAGATAAGCTGTGTTGTATCTGTAATGCGCCTAAGCATGATCGCGAAATGGTTGTTAAACTGAATTCGTTAACCCCGTGAGGTGTCGTGGATAAGTTACACCAGAAGGCAATTCGTGTGTTTTAGCGACAGTCCGGAAAGCGATATGTGTGAATGCCGTTATTCATGGTATACATTAAAACATTCAATCATTATCTACTGAATTCTAAAAACTGAATCGCATTAAAACAAAAGCAAGATTAAATAAAATGTTGTCAACGTCAAGCTGTTAGTGGAATGAGTTAGCGCCGGTTTGAAGGAAATAAAAGGCGTGTTACATCTCAGTTATGTCACGGCGTTTCATTTGATATGGCTAGAAGCCCGAAGTGGAGCTTTGTATTTGAAGTTTACCACTTTCAAAAACCTCACGAGAACGCATATGGTATTATTATTATTATAGGATATTTATATAGCGCACATATCCACACACTAGTGCATGCTCAAGGCGCTGTTATTTTTCCCCTCGATCATTGGATGTCAATCTCAACGGCTCATCGTATTATCAATCTCAACTCCCTGGGGAGTATACAACTCTTGCTGCCACAAGGCGCACCGAGATACTGTGGCTTTCTCATCCTAACGAGGTATCCATTCACAGCATGTCAACAGCACAATTGGCGTCGTAATCATACTAGCTATCATTATCATAATTAAATAAATGTTATAAATATCAGCTGCTTAGAAAAGTTATTATTCAGTCTGATGATTTTAATGAAAGAAAAAATGATCGTTCTAACTATTTCTATTGCATACCTGACCCCTCAGCTTATCCATTTACAATATCACTGATATGAATCATAATATTCATTTTTATATGGGCATATATCATGTATACGTTTATACTTACTAGATCAACAATAAACAAATGAATTGTTATGTAAGTCCAACATATGACAATTATAACATATTACTGCAAAACGATTAAATGAAAAATATAAAGTACAACAAAAGTACATACATATATATGAAATCAACATATTTAAAATCACTGTAGACGTGTAGACAGAAGGTGTACAATACCTTATCGGCTTGTCCTGGTAATGTTCAATGAATGAGTCTCACCTGGGAGAGGCAACGGTTTATGTAGTTCGCGTATATCTTTAGGTACATGTGTACCGATCCGCCACTGGAGGGATAGCTTTGCACACGGATCTGAAAGGTGATGGGACTACCGAGGATATAGACAAGCACAAGTAACCGAGGATATAGACAAGCACAAGCAACAAGTAAACACCGACCAAGTAACGAAAACACCGTCACAACGAGCCATCACACTCACTATTGACACCATTCACAGGCAATGCGCAAATTGACCACAACTCAAGCGGCTCCGAGAAAAGCTATTTACAACCCGAGCAAAGCTACACATAGTCTTACAACCGTTTCGGGTTTGCTTGCAAGTTTGGCGGTGACGCTAGCTTTCCAAGTTCAATACTTCGCGCTCGACCTTTGGATAAAGGATGAGCGGGATACAAATATGATTAAATGCCTCCTAATGGCGGTTTCATTCACGTGTAAATAAATGTGTTCTGTGTCACGAGGCCATGAATGTGAGGAAACATGATAGCGGCGCATTAAACTGGTCCTGCACAGAATAGCAAGTGCGTTACAGCATGGGGTGTGCTATATACTGAAGATGTATATTGAGATGTGACGTATTTTCATTTTGCAGCAAAGTAATATTTTATTTTCGTTAAAGTGCACATACACAAACACTCACACACACTCTTTCTCTCACACATGCATACACACACTCTCTCTAACACGCTCGCTGTCTATCACACACACGCACACCCGTAAAGAGACGTTCAGCAGTTTAAGTTTTGCATATATTAATAAATCCAGAAAATAGTGACACAACACTAACCTACATCCTGCTTGAGTCTGTTTTATGGCTGTACAGGCGCCGGCAGAGGTTAGAAAGATAAAGCTGAAACGTGTGGGAAAGAAATATATGCTGTGTCATTGCTGTGAGGACGTGTGTGTGTGCGTGCGTGCTCGCGCGTGTGCTTGTGTGTGTGTGCAACGTCATGTAATTAGTGTAAGGCCTTAAATGGAAATGCATCGATGTGTTTTGGTGTATCTGGGTGGTGAGCGTTAACGCCTGCCTGAGTTTGGTTTTACGCCGCTTTTAGCAATATTCCAGCAACATCACGGCGGGGGACACCAGAAATGGGCTTCACACATTGTACCCATGTAGGGGTTCGAACCCGGTCTTCGGCGTTACGAGCCAACGTTTTAACAACTAGGCTACCCCACCGCCCCCCTTGACCGTTAATGAATGTATTATCATCACTGTTGTTGTTGTTATTTTTATCTTTACCATAACAGTGCAAGATTCAAACACTGTGTTAGAAACTACACTTCACATCGCTATTTGTGAGTGAATGGCCACCAGGAAAACAGTTGCACTCGGCGACTGCAGCCGGCAAATACAGACGGTTAATAAAACATGGCGAGTGGGTGTGTGAGTGAGTGAGTGAGGTCAGATTTACGCCGCTTGTAGCAATATCCCAGGACGGAGGGGGCACCAGAAATGGACTTCACACATTGTACCCATGTGGGGAATCGAACCCGGGTCTTCGGCGTGAGCAGCGAACGCTTTAACCACTGGGTTACCCTCCCCACATGTATGTATGTATGTATGTATGTATGTATGTATGTATGTATGTATGTATGTATGTATGTATGTATGTATGTATGTATGTATGTGTGTGTGTGTGTGTGTGTGTGTGTGTATGTATGTATATGCATGCATGCGTTCGAGCGTGTATTTATGTATATGTGTGTGTATTTATGCATGCATGTATGTGTGATGTGTGTATGTATGTATGTGCATGCATGCGTGTATTTATGTATATGTGTGTGTTTATGCATGCATGTATGTGTGATGTATGTATGTATATGCATGCATGCGTGCGTGCGTGCGTGTATTTATGTATATGTGAGTGTATTTATGCATGCATGTATGTGTGATGTATGTATGTATGTATGTATATGCATGCGTGCGTGCGAGCGTGTATTTATGTATATGTGTGTGTATTTATGCATGCATGTATGTGTGATGTATGTATGTATTTATGTATGTATGTATGTATGTATTTATGTATGTATGTATGTATGTATATATGTATGTGCATGCGTGCGTGCGTGTATTTATGTATATGTGTGTGTATTTATGCATGCATGTATGTGTGATGTATGCATGTATGCATGTATGTATGCAACATGTCTAGAGTGGCGTTAAAACAGAAAATAACACTTACGATTTAAAGGACACACCTAAACTTCTTAGTGACTTGAAATACTGATCCATGTTTGGCATTCTTCCGTCATCGAGGCATTTTATTCAGACCACGGCGTCCATTTGTATGTCAGTCGTTCTGCTTGTGAGCCTGTTTAACGCTTCACTCAATGTAGACAATTCACTGATTGACATCATGAGCAAAAATTGAGCATCGATCTGCGCAACTGGCATTGATAACCCAATCCTGCTAGTCATCTCTTGCGACAAGCATGAGTTACTGAAGACCTAGTATAACCTGGATCTTCACGTTTTTTTCACCTCTTTCCACAAACCACCAATCCCGGAACCCTTTTGTTATCGAATTCAGTGTAAAGCAATCAAATCAACATTAAATCAACTGGCGACACTTATAGTGTATAGTATCATGTGGCAATTGTATTTTGTTGTACCTCGTCACAATAATACAATAATTTGAAGTAATTGAAATTGTCTGCACAACAGACTATTATAGACTATTTGAAGAAATGATAAATGTCAAGAAGGCAAAATTGCAGTAGTCATTTTCCGCATTTATTATCTTTGACATCTATGGTGGACATATATTTTCACACATTAGTATAATGTTATAAAATTATAACATATAACTCCATTTTACGTCACTGATAGCGTCACCGTCATCTCTGTATAGACATGTCATGCGTACATAGCACTTTCGGCCAAGTAACTTCGTACGTTAGGTGTAGTTTTTGTCACCAGTCTTTCCAAACCATGGTTTCTGGTTCAGATGATTAGCATTAAACAGCACGGCCTGTATATGTGCTATATATGACACATGGGGCAGCCTAGTGGTTAAAGCGCTCGCTCGTCACACGTTTAAGAGGTCCCAAGAGGATCTGTTGACGTAGATTGTTGTAAGTGCATTTGAGTATTATACCATCACCCCACAACGCGTCATCCCCCAGGGTACAGGTGAATATTCCACATTTAAATTAAATCGCTGTTAGCTATATATATGAACAAGTGATTTCTGCAGGTGTCACATAAATATATAAAAGATGAGTCAAGATATTTTTTCTTATCAAAACTCCTTTATCTGCACAAGAGCTTTCTCCGTTCAACGACTCTTGATTGTACACCTGAAGAGCCGTCGAACGGCGAAAGCTCTTGTGCAGATAAATGATAGAAATATATACATATATGTATATGCATATCTAGATCCTTCTTGCTTGGAATTGGCCAAATGCAAAAAGGTACAAATTTGGGGACACAGCGATCAGGCTGACTTCAAGTCATTGACCTCGACGGTGTTAATCGTTTGTCATAATATCCCCCATGTCTGGTCCAGCATCATTCAGCTTAGAATCGCTGATAGCGACGTAAAACACCATACTCGTACCATGCACGTTGTACATTCACACATCCACTCTCCCCTCCCCTATGCTGCCCTCTTCCCTGGAGCACCAGCTCAATTGCCCGTTGAGGAGCACGTGCAAGTGGATAGAACCATCACGAGGCTGACAATGTGACAATTGTATTATCCATGATTAGATCGGCCATGTGAAGTGCGCCTGAGAATCTTGTTGGCTGAATGAAAGCAGGGGCAGGTCTCGTTGTAGTCAACAAACTCATTGACTACAGGCGACCTGCATGTCCAGAACGTATGCATAGCTCATGCAATCTCATCGACATCAGCCTAAAAATCGATTAACAGACATCTGCCTATTCTGGTACCATTAGTAGTCACCTTTAAGTCAACGTGGTCTGTAGGTTCTGTTCATATTGATCAAATGGACAATATGTTTGTCTGATCACCATTGGCATTGATTATCTACCATGTTATTAACAAGCTTGTCTATGTAGTTGAGTACTTGAATGATTTTAAGATTTAATTCATGCCTTATCCATTCATACAATGTCCTCCGCCATATTGCTCTTTAGGCCAAATGGATTCGTTTCTGGAGTTAATGGACGCAATTTATTATTCTGACGCTCTGTACTTATCAAACATGGTTTCAGGAATTGTAACTCTATTTATCAAGTGTATCTAGTACCACATGCATTGTTTAGTGTAGTGTTTATCGATAGCATTGTTAGGATTAACCAACCTATACTTTTCTCAAATAGCGATGGAATCTGTTGATATACTAATCATCACCTCATCCAGTGAGGAAACGGGATCAGGTGGTCAGGCTCGCTGACTTGGTTGACACATGTCATCGTATCCCAACTGCGTAGATAAGTTCTCATGCTGTTGATCACTGGATTGTCTGGTCCAGACACGATTATGGTCAGACCGCTGAGATATAGCTGGAATATTGCTGAGTGCGGCGTAAAACTAAACTCACTCACTCACTCATTTCAGTGATGACGGATTAGAACTGCATATCCAGCATATGCTAATTGTAACAGACAACTTAATTATATTTTTAATTGATACGTCAAAGCCGGGGACTTGGTATATTGCGAGTCATCGTACTTCAATGGCATTGAGGGAAGGTGGAGTAGCTAGTGGTTAAAGCGTTCGCTCGTCACACCGAATACCTGGGTTTGGTTCCCCACATGGTACAATGTGTGATGGCCATGTCTGGTGTTCCCCGCCGTGATATTGCTGGACTATTGCTAAAAGAGGCGTAAAACTAAACTCACTCACTCATTCCACGGCATTGATAGTTGTTCATGACATCAACCACTGTTTTCTGCTCCACCATCGATTTTTACATGCCGTTCAACAACAAACGCCTATGTACTGCTTTATCAAACACACTGAACCAAACAACCTAAGGATTAAATATATTGTTTTTCGTTGAGGACATTTAAAATCTTCCCTACAAAATATATCCCCCAAATATTCATGAGCCCGAACTCATCTTATTCACTACATGATAATTATTTCTTCAGAAAATGCTTCATCAATCGATTGCTTGGCACGACTCGGTGAATAATAGCTCAAGCTGTTGTAGTCTCACGCGTCATGTTTAAGTAAGTATGTTTACAAGGTTCTCTGTATATATACACAAGCCTGGAGTCAGTGGTGCTATATTTAAACTGCCGAGGCCTACTCTCTCGTCATGATGTCAACATATGTCTACTGGAACGAGTTGATTGGCGTGACGTTGGTCTGTGATGGAGCCTGACACGACGCGAGGAATCCCTTTGAGCATAATTCCTCATGCTAAAAGGGTTTGCTTGATCAAACACGCTAAGATTTAAACCTATTTCCATTCGCAATGAACTTCCTTGTTTCCAGATCTGAATTACATGGAGACAGGATGTAATTCAGGAATTC